TGGAATTCTTACAAGAATATAATCTAATCTCCATTGCATAAATAAAGTCGACATGTGTCTTCCTACAAGAATATAATCGAATCTCCACTGCACAGATAAAGTCATGTGCCTTTCTACGGGAACACGATCATACCTCCAACATGGAATTGCCAAGGCCATCGACAAAACATGAGTTCGACCTCGTTCGAACTATGACGGGATACTACAATGACAGTTCGAAGCAACATCCCAATGGCCAAGGCCATCGACGAAACATGAGTTTGACCTCGTTCGAACTACGACGGGATACTACTTCAACGACAGTACGAAGAAACATCCCAATGGACAAGGCCATCGACTAAAACATGAGTTCAACCTCGTTCGAACTACGACAGGATACTACGTCGACGACAGTTCGAAGCAACATCTCAATGGCCAAGGCCATCGACAAAATATAAGTTCAACCTCGTTCGAACTACAACGGTATACTTCAACGACAGATCAAAGCAACATCCCAATGGCCAAGGCTATCGATGAAACATGAGTTTGACCTCGTTCGAACTACGACGAGATATTACTTCAACGACAGTTCGAAGCAACATACCAATGGTCAAGGCTATGAACAAAACATAAGTTCGACCTTGTTCAAACTACGACGGGATACTTCGACGACAGATCGAAGCAATATCCCAATGGCCAAGGCCATCGATGAAACATGAGTTTGACCTCGTTCGAACTATGACAGGATACTACTTCGACGACAGTTCGAAGCAACATCCCAATGGCCAAGGCCATCGACTAAAACATGAGTTCGACCTTGTTCAAACTACAACGGGATACTACTTCGACGACAGTTCGAAGCAACATCCCAATGGCCAAGGCCATCGACAAAACATAACTTCGACCTCATTCGAACTATGATGGGATACTTCGACGATAGATCGAAGCAACATCCCAATGGCCAAGGCCATCGATGAAACATGAGTTTGAACTCATTCGAACTACGACAGGATACTACTTCGACGATAGTTTGAAGCACCATCCCAATGGCCAAGGCTATTGACAAAATTTTGGTTCGACCTCGTTCGAACCACAATGGGATCCTACTTCGACAAAAGTACAGAGCAACATCCCAATGGTCAAGGCCATCAAAAAAAGAGAAAAAGGAATCAACCACACCCAAATGATAAATCGACTCAACAGCTCGACAGGTATACCAAATACCATAGAAATTACAAAGATCACCAACCCATCGACAAAACAAAATCTACATTGCATCAAAATAATTTACACTGATCCTTACAAAACGGGCTCAAGCATGCTCCCTCCCACAAAATCCCCAAAGCAAAAAGAAAACACAATATTACACATCATCCTCGGTAGGGTAAGCTTCTTCGTACAAAGAATCCGAAGCAAGATGGTTCACCTCATCTAAATTGATATCATCTCCATTAAGGGTATGAGGGTCGTACCCATATGCCTCACGAGCTGCACGAGTTCCGTTATGCACGGTTTGAAGCTCTGCCTCAGTTGCCCTCCCCTTAGTGTGGAAAGCCTTGTACACGTCAAGTTGGGCCTCAGCAAGAACCCACAACTCATATAAGCGACGAGGTATGACCGGGTCAGCTGGAGAATGGGACGTGGAAGGTTGAGAACGTCGAGTTGCATCCTCCACTCTCAGCGAGGCCACTTGCCCATTCAATATAGATAACTTCGCCTACAACTTTTTAACACGCCCTTCAAGCCCCGTGACCTTAATATTAGAGGCCTCCCTCTCTCCAGTCAGCTCCGACCTACAATTACGGAGGGCATCCTCTAACTACACCGTTTCAGAAATAGCTGTCGCTAGATTATCAGCACCAACGTCCAGCTTGCCCTTAAGCCCCTCAATTTCCACCGCCTTCGTACTCAATTCAGCAGTCAAACCGGCCACTCTCACCTGTAAATCGGCATTATCGGCCATCACCCCCTGCTCAACTCAAGCTCGTCCTCCTTCGCCCTAAGGGAGGCTAAGTTCACTATTGCGGGTGACAGCCTTCATGAGCTCCTCGTCCCGCTCCTTCAACTCTTCGACCTTGCGCTCCAGTTTGTCTTGAATATAAATATCGGCCATCGCGTAATGCTTAGCACGATACCGTTGATACTTGGACGACATCTTCCCATATACGACCGTTCTCCTCTTCTCCCGATGCTCGCATTCGGTCTCCATGACGAGGGTCTACCACAAAAGAAAAAGAGAAGTTAAAAACGAAATATAGGTCGATAATCACCGCACAAGTCCAACGACAAAAAGAAAAAGAAAGGAATTTACCTGCAAAGCCATGCCGGCAACGTTCTGAGACAATTTCACGTCGCTCATTGCCCTGAGCACCTCGTTTTCAGGGGTATCACGCAGAGGAGCTAAAATGGACGCCACTTGCTCACACTTTGACAATAAGTTATAGTCCCCGGGGATGACTATGTGACGATCAGACCCCTCCGCTCTGACCTCCACGTGAGTATGATGAGTTGACTTCCTCCGGGTCGACATCTGAACCTGAGCCTTCGCCCTCGACGCAACGGACTCCAACATTGTATGATGTGCCGCCCTCAGCAGAGCGTACAGAGTCGGCTCCTAGACAAACCCCCTCTGTGTGATAAGACCTCCCCAATAATATGGCATCAGTCATGAATGTGGGCACAGGTGCCATCTACGATGCCCTACTTCTATCAACGTCAACAGCCACACCCTTCCCGAGCTCCATTCTCCTCTTTTTTCTCAATAAAGGCTCGTGCCCATTGGAGGATTCGTGCAAAAGGTGGGGACCGACATTGAAGAAGCCTCCTCCCTCAAGACCACGACCCGAGAGGGGCCTTCTAATTGATCAGGTTGAGGACGACCCTCTCGAACAGATTCACTCAAAATAAATTACGTGTTCGCGGCGACAACGACCTGTCAAAATGCGGGAACTGGCGCCCTCTGCCTGGAAGCTCCTCAACCTACCATCACGAAGTAGTCGAATTAATGGACGACGATATATAACTAATGAAGGGGTAAAGGGAAAACACTCACCACTTGGAACTTTAGGGTCGTAACGCTTTACGAAGGAAGGCCAATCATGAGGTTTCCGCTGCGTATGATAGCAAACGAGCTACCCAATCCCTTATGCCCGTAATAGGGCGAGGCAGACCTCTCATGGCTGCAAATGAGAAGCAAACAAACTTCATAATGAATACAGACGAAAGAAGAATAAAATGAGTAGCGACACTTACGAGTCTCATTCCATCGCTCCGGCAACCTGGCAGAGTCGGAGACAATATTTTCGGTCTTGACAAAGAAGTATTTGTACCAAAACTTGCGACTTGCTCGGTCGTCTGTCCTGACCACCAACCCTTTCGTGCCACGGTGCCTCAAATGCACCATGGTACCTCTGTGGAAGCTAGGTAAGAACAGGTGCAAAAGGTGGTGGATAGAAACATTACATTCCGCCAACTCCGCATACTTGGTCAACAGTAGGAGCACCTTAAGGGTATACGGCGAAAGTTGTGCCGGGCAAACTTGGTAGAACCTATAGAACTCTTCCGCTAAGGGGAAGAGAGGAAAAGTGTAGCCAATCACGAAAGGGTACTCAAAGAAAGCGTAGTACCCAGTCCTGCGGACATCTACAAAATCTCTCCCCGCCGGAATCATGTCAACGTAAGCAGGGATGCTATATTTTATACGAATAGCGTCAAGGTGAACCTACTCCGTCTCAGAAAATACGGGGGAAAGAGTAGGAGGGGGGTCTTTGAGGAAGTCACTCCGAGACATGGGGGTGTCTCGATGATAACTTCTCCACCGTAGGGGGACTGTCACCCTCTTCTACCACCGTATCTTCACCGCCTGAAGGGGTGTCGTGGACAATGGGGTGGCCTCAGGAACCCCTTCGCGAGAATGATAAGATCTTGGCATGATGTCGTTCAAAGGAGTATCAATACAAAAAAGGAGGAAGAAGCTGCGAATGAAGAACGTAAAAAGAAGAAGCAGAAGGGTATCAGGGCAAGCTTGGAGGAATAAGGGAGGTTATCAGGAGTGAAATGGCCAAGAACTTTCGAAAAAACAAACCCTTCACCTATTTATAGGGTTGGGTGGCGCCAGAATTGAAGCGGAGGGTCACAGAGTGGCGCTAGAATCGAAGCATCAAGCCATCAACTCCTGCCTCGAAAACATGCGTAATGATGACGCATGTGAAGATGACATCATTTCCCAGTAAAGTGTATTACCCGGTGTCTTGCTAAGCATGCTGACCGTCCCCCATTGGCCACGTCGTAATGTCTCGACGAATCAAATTTCTTCGTAGGAATGCATGATGTCCGCTCATCAAGGACGCACCCAGTTGCAACCCCAACAAGCGGAGGGACTAATTGTATGGGTCCAAAATTAACCAATCACGACCAACGACGAGTATGATGAATGACGGGGTCTCCTTGAATCGATGCCCTGAGGGAGACAACCTTAAGGCAAACAAGAGACTGTACGACCCTTGTAATAGTGTAGGCTCATTAGGGGACATCAGGAATATTCCTCGTAATTTGTCTTTTACAGTGTAGAAGGGTTTCACTCTTTGTATATATAGAGGGCAATAACCTTATAAGAGGGGAGTCCGGATATTGGCTGCATTACTATTTACGAATGAAAAGGTTTCTAAAAGATTTTGATGAAAGTAGATCATTAAAGGAATCTTGGGACTCGCCTTCTTTTTATCTATCATTCTTTCTAGAGGTTATTATACTTAGCTAAGATTTATGTCTTCATTTTCGATTGATTTGTTCAAAAAGTTTTCAATATTTTTTGAGTCAAACATGATATGCTAAAAGTAACAATTAAAAATGAAAATATATTTTTAGAATACTGGATAAGTAAAAGAGAACGGAGGAATTACTATTAATCTATATATAGGCACAACTAATAGAGTATTCTATATATAGGCACAACTAATGCATATTAGCTGTCTGAGATATATAAGATCCTTGGCCTATGATATTCTTTGAATATAGGAAAAATGAAGATAGGAACCACTAAGAACTCCTATTTCATTTGTTTCCTCTTACTGTTGCGACATGTTTCTGCAAAGAACATCATAGGCCAAGGAGGAAATGAGTTGGAAGAAGAGGTTAAAAGATCAGAATTCCCAGATGGTTTTCTTTTTGGAACATCAACTTCTGCCTATCAAGTATACACATCTCTGACTTTTTAATTTACAGCTCCTTAATTAATTGTCTCTGATCTCATATATAACATCCTTAGTAAATGAATATCTGTATTATAGATTGAAGGAGCATATATTGAAGATGGCAGAAGCCTTAGCAACTGGGATGTTTATTGTCGTATCAATGGTAACTTTCGCATTTGTACCCTAAAGTTGTCTTTCCTATCCATTTTACTTTTAATGACATGTTCTTGTAACCATAAGAATGGCACAGCATAAATAAGACTACAAATTTCAAGGATGTCAAAAGTCTTTCTTTCTTCCTTAAATTACTTCGTGTCGTTTCATGTACAATCATATAAAATGAAGCTGAGTGAGTACTACATTTCTCCATTAATTTGTGCTTAAATTGGTTCAGGTAGAATACCCAATGGAGGAAGTGGAGACATAGCTGACGACCATTACCATCGTTACTTGGTACTAAATTACATCCCATTTTTTATTTTGACATTTGAAACATATATGTTGTACATGTCTTTAATTTGTTTTAACGAATGATATGGTAGGAAGACATTGACAGAATGGCGTCTCTTGGAGTAAATGCTTATCGATTCTCCATTTCATGGAGTAGAATTCTACCAAGTTGTGTTTCTTTTTCTCTCAGTTTTACTTCTTTCACAGTTACTGATGATCTTATATATTATCATTTATAAGATTTTTAATTGCTACCTTAAACTATGCTAATATGCTTTTGACTCCTAAATATGGTGGAGCTGATCAACAGGAGGGAGGTTCGGAGCTGTGAATCCTGCTGGAATCAAGTTTTATAACAATATCATTGATAATCTCTTACTCAAAGGTTGTTGTTAATCTTCTTTTTCAATGCCACCTCTTTTTTTTATATTTTTTAATTATAACACATGCAATCTTACTTAGAGTGCAATATAAATAGATACTACATAAATTGCAGGAATAACACCATTTGTGACGATCCACCATGATGACTATCCTCAGGAATTTGAGGACAGATATGGGGCCTGGCTCAGTCCACTTATGCAGTAAGTTTCTTCTCTAGTTAAATCTGGCTCTATATATAGAGAGAGAGAGATTAGTTCATATATAATTTTAGATAATCTAGATGATTTATCATGCAATAAGCAAGTGAAAATTAATTGAAGAAGTATGTACTTACAGAGAAAAGCTGATACAAAGAAGAGCTGTTTAAAAATAAAGGATAATATATATCATTCTCAATTTTAATTAGTTAGTTGATGATCTTTGTAGGGAAGAGTTTGTACACTTTGCAGAAACATGTTTTAAGAGTTTTGGGGATAGAGTAAAGTACTGGGCTACTATAAATGAGCCTAATTTATTTGCGGAAATGGCCTATTTGAAAGGTGTGTTCCCACCTTCACATTGTTCGCCCCCTTTCGGGAAATGTTCCTCTGGTAATTCCGACGTGGAGCCTCTACTTGTTGTCCACAATTCAATATTGGCACATGCAAAGGCTGTCAAACTCTATCGTCACCAATTCCAGGCAAGTATTTATATATCCTTGTTTCCTTTTATTTTTCAGCACTAATTATATAAATTAATTTGTCTTATATTTTTTTAAGAATAACAACGGAAACCGGAAAATAAGTGATACAAATAATTACTTCGTCCGTCCCAAAATAAGTGTTATTTTTTGCTTTTCTGGAGTCAATTGACACACTGCCTAATATTATAAACAGACTGAACAAGGTGGAATGATAGGGATGGTGGTGAGCGCTTACATGTATAAGCCAATGACAGATGATGAGGCTGACACCAAAGCTTCAACTAGGGCTTTGGCCTTTCATGTTGCCTGGTACGTAATAATTATACTTTTCCGTTTCAATTTAGATCACATATTTCACTTATTCAAAGTCAAACTGTGTAAAGTTTGACCTTATATTTTAAAATATATTTGTTATCATATTGCCATGAGAAAAATTACAAATTTATACATTTTTTGTGTAGTTTTTGTATATTTTAATTTTAAAATAATAAATTGAACTAATTTAATATAGCTTTAAAGTTTAGCCAAATTGACTTTCGATAACCGAAATATATTATTTAAATTGAAATAGAGGAAGTACATATGATAGGATCCACATGATTTTAAAAATATATATGTTCATCTTTATTTAGTTTTGTTTTCACTTAATACTACCTAAAATTACCGTGTTGCAATTTAAAAAAGATATCTAGTGAAACATCCCGCATTCACGCAGGGTCTGGGTAGGGGCCACACCCTAAAGGGTGTGATATAGGCAGTGTTGGGGTTGAAGTGTGGTAGTGCGAAAGGGAAATGAGAAAAGAAGGTGAAAAGACAACTTTGGCTTTTGCACTTTGTCCCTCATTGGTTAAAGACAAATATTTTGTTGGGTTTAAATATAGAAGCACTTCCTTAAGCTGAGCTAAGAGGAAGGGGCCTCGCGCCGTCGTCATTGTCGCTCGCTCGGCTCGGCTTCGAATATGATTGATTGACTTAATTTTTTGGACCAATAAACTGAAATTAATTAATTAAATATTAATATTTTATATTAATATTTTGAGTGACTGTTATTTGTAATGATAAATTAATTAATTTTCGTCTTTAATTTTATTTAAATATTCATGCGTTAAACAACCACCAGAAAGGCTTCACGAATAGCCACATGCAGTGTGAACAACCACTTTCACACCCTTTCAATCCAGAAATTCGTTGGCTATAAATTAGCAGCCATTCCTTCAGAATTTTTCAATCCGGAAATCTTATGCTTCATCTCCTTCTTCTTTCTGCATCATTACTTTCAAAACAAAGTAAGTCTGTCGTGTGATTTGTACCATTATTTTGAGTTCGCTGATAACTTAGTGGTTTGAAGTGCCGCCACCGCTAAGTTGGAAGTTCCGTTCTATCCTGGGAAGAATTTATCCGTGAACCTTTGGAAAAAGTGAGGGGATAAGATTCTTTAAGGACACACAAGGAATTTGTGGGCTCAGGACATACTACTGCCAATTTCTGTTCATTTATTTTTCCTGTTTTAGTCACTTATAAATTCAGAATAACTAACAAGCTTAAAGGATCTTATTTATATATATATCCTTGTTGTTCTGATTTTCAAAGTGACTGAGGAGACTAAAACCTTCATGGTTTTCTACTCCTAATCGGTTTGAAGAATAATCTCTTCACTGTGTTAAAATAAGTTTGAAGAATAATCTCTTCACTGTGTTGTCTTGGGTTGAAGGATTAAACACTTCACCATTTACTGAATCTGTTTGTGTCATATTGATAGAAATGACTAACGGAGAGGAACAAATTGATCATGCTGTGATTGTTACTACTAACAAGTTTCGGGGATGCTAGGTCCAATCCGTCCTACTGCACCTGCAACGGCTATGCCACCAGCGGAAAAGCCGGGGAAATTTTCTGGTGTTGACTTTAAGAGATGGCAGCAAAAGATGTTCTTTTATCTGACCACTCTAAGTCTGCAAAGGTTCATTCAAGAGGATGTTCCAGTCGTGCCTGAAGAAACCCCTGACAACAAGCGTTTCCTTGTTACTGAAGCTTGGAAGCACTCTGATTTCCTGTGCAAAAATTACATTTTAAGTGGATTGGAAGATGGCTTGTACAATGTTTATAGCGTCATGAAAACATCAAGAGAATTATGGAATGCTCTTGAAAAGAAGTACAAGACTGAAGATGCTGGACTAAAGAAGTTTGTGGCCGCCAAATTTCTGGATTTCAAAATGATTGACGGTAAATCTGTCATAACGCAAGTCCAAGAATTGCAAGTTATTGTTCATGACCTCCTTGCTGAAGGTATAAAACAAGTCAATATTTTTATTCAAGATATTAATTATTGTACTAATTATAAATTTATGATTGAAGGTATGGTCATAAATGAAGCGTTTCAAGTTGCAGCATTTATTGAAAAGCTGCCTCCGTTGTGGAAGGACTTTAAGAATTACTTGAAACATAAGCGCAAGAAGATGACGCTTGAAGACCTTATTATTCGTCTACGGATTGAAGAGGACAACAAGGTTGCTGAGAAGAAATCTCGTGGAAGTTCAACAATAATGGGTGCAAATATTGTTGAGGAAGCTTCAACGAGTAAAAAGAGAAAAAAGCTGTCTGGATCAAAGAATTATCCAAGCAAGAAGAGGTTCAAAGGTAATTGCCACAATTGTGGAAAGGTTGGACATAAGGATACTGAATGTCGTGCACCAAAGAAGGACAAGAAGAAAAGTCAAGCAAACATGATTGAGAAGAATGATGAAATAGATGGCCTATGTGCCATGTTTTCAGAATGCAACCTAGTTGAAAATCCTAGAGGATGGTGGATTGATTCAGGAGCAACTCGACATGTTTGTGCTAACAAGGAGTTGTTTACTTCTTATGCTCCCGCTGGACCCAACGAGACAGTGTTTATGGCAATCTCTGCTACTGCAAAATCGAAGGAACGGGCAAGGTGGCTTTGAAGATGACTTCGGGAAAGATTGTGACTCTAAAAGATGTTCTTCATGTTCCTGAAATGCAGAAGAATTTAGTCTCGACATCACTTCTAGTCAAGAATGGCTTTACGTGTATTTTTGTTTCCGACAAGGTTGTAGTTAGTAAGAATGAAATGTATGTAGGAAAAGGTAACCTGACTGAGGGTCTTTTTAAACTCAATATAATTGCCATTGATATGAATAAAATTTCAGCTTCTTCTTACTTACTTGAGTCAAATAATTTATGGCATGAACGTTTAGGCCACGTCAACTTCAAAACTTTGTGAAAAATGATTAATTTGGAAGTATTACCTAAGTCTGAATGCAACAACTCGAAATGTCAAATATGTGTGGAATCAAAGTATGTTAAGCATCCTTATAAGTCAGTTGAAATGAATTCAAATCCTTTAGACTTAATTCACACGAATATTTGCGACATGAAGTTAATATCATCTCGCGGTGGGAAAAAGTATTTCATAACTTTCATTAACGACAGTACTAGATATTGCTATATTTACTTACTTAATAGTAAAGCTGAAGCAACAGATGCATTCAACCAATACAAAAATGAAGTTGAAACGTAATTAAACAAAAAGATCAAAATGATAAGAAGTGATAGAAGCGGCGAATATGAATCTCCTTTTGAAGAAATATGTTTGGAAAATGACATTATTCACCAAACAACTACCCCTTACTCACCGCAATCTAATGAAATTGCGGAAAGAAAGAATAAAACGTTAAAGAAGATGATGAACGCCTTATTAATAAGTTCTGGTTTACCTAAGAACTTGTGGAGGGGGGGGGGAAGTTATTCTTACAGCTAATCGAATACTGAATCGAGTTCCCCATAGCAAAACACAATCCATTCCATATGAAAAATGGAAAGGAAGGAAACCCAACTTAAAATATTTTAAAGTGCGGGGGTGTTTGGCTAAAGTGCAAGTTCCTAAACCCAAAAGGGTAAAAATTGGACCAAAAACCGTTGATTGCATTTTCGTAGGATATGCAACAAATAGTAAGGCTTATCGGTTTCTGGTTCATAAATTAAAAAATCCCGACATTCATATTAATACGGTAATTGAGTCGGATAATGCTAAATTTTTTGAGAATACTTATCCATAAAATGGAATGTGAGTCGTCTAATGAAAAATCTAAGCGACATCGGGAAGAAGCAAAGGAAAGTGCGTTTGATGAGGAAAATCCAAGACGTAGTAAACGTCAAAGGAAAGCTACTTCCTTTGGACTAGATTTTTTGGCATTCTTATTGGAAAATGAGCCTCAAACATTCAAAGAAGCAATGTTTTCCTCGAAAGCACAATATTGGAAAGAGGAAGTCAGTAGTGAGATAGAATCTATATTAAGTAATCATACTTGGAAATTGGTTGATCTACCTCCGGGAAATAAACCTTTGGTTCTAAATGGATTTTCAAAAGGAAAACGAAAGTTGATGGTACTATTGACAAATATAAGGCAAGATTAGCTGTTAAAAGGTTTAGACAATGAGAAGGTCTTGATTACTTTGACACATACTCGCCGGTAACAAGGATTACATCTATCCGGGTGTTAATAGTGTTAGCCGCCGTGTATGGCCTTCAAATCCATCGGATAGATATAAAGACGATCTTCTTAAATGGGGATTTAGAGGAAGAAATCTATATAGAACAACTGAAGGGTTTGTAGTTCCCGGAAAAGAAAAGAAGATTTGTCGACTTGTTAAGTCACTTTACGGACTAAAACAAGCACCAAAACAATAGCATGCGAAATTTGACCAAACAATGTTGTTAAATAGTTTCAAGACCAATGAGTGTGACAAATGTGTTTACATTAAGAATACTCCAAATCAAATAGTCATTGTTTATTTATATGTGGATGATATGTTGATAATGAGTAACGGTATTGCTAACATAAATGCTACTAAGCGCATGCTTACTAGTAAGTTTGATATGAAAGACTTAGGAGTTGCCGATTTAATTTTGGGGATTAAGATCCTATAGACTCCTCAAGGTCTAGCTTTGTCTCAATCTCATTATATTAAAATGGTTCTTGAAAATTTCAAATGTTTGGACTTTAAAGAAGCAAAAACACCAATTGATTTAAACCATATTCTTGTAAAAAATAAAAGTGAAAGCAAATCTCAATTGGAATATGCTCGAGTGTTGGGAAGTTTGATGTACATTGTGAATTGTACATGACCTGATATAGCTTGTGCAATAAGCAAGCTTAGTCGATACACAAGTAATCCCAACCATGCTCATTGGATAGCAATGAAATGAGTTTTGGGATATTTGAAATATACTCAAGACTATGCACTGCATTACAATAATTATCCCACAGTTGAGGGATATAGTGATGCAAATTGGATCACCGGATCAATGAAAACAAAATCCACAAGTGGATACGTTTTTACCATTGGTAGAGGAGCAGTGTCTTGAAAGTCGTCCAAACAGACATGCATCGCTCGCTCTACAATGGAGTCTGAGTTTATAGCTTTAGACAAGGCTGGTAAAGAAGCTGAATGGCTCCTAAATTTCTTAGAAGACATTCCTTTTTGGCCCAAACCTTTGGCACTTGTATGCATACATTGCGATAGTCAAGCAGCAATAGGAGGGGCTGGGAGCATTATGTATAACGGAAAATCTCGTCACATTCGACGAAGGCATAATATCTTTAGACAACTACTCTCTAGTGGAATTATCACAATTGACTATGTAAGGTCAAAAGATAATGTATCGGATCTGCTTACAAAAGGCCTACCTAGAGAGGCGGTTGAGAAGTCGTCAAAGGGAATGGGACTATGGCCGAGGACAAGTCACCATGGCGGTAACTCTACCTAGAAGACTGGAGATCCCAAGATCTAGGTTCAAGGAGATCAAACAAAGTCATTAGTGATAGTCCAACGTTGTCAAATAAAATTTTGGTCCATTCTCGTGATGCAGACAATGTTCAGTACCAAGGATAAAGCGTTATGACTTTTTAATGATTTCTAAGTTTGATATGGGGTATATTAAATAGTGTATCTACGGTTTAACACATTTAGGAATCACCTATATAATTAAGTGTGAAGTGTAAGCCGCTTCAAAGAGAATGTTGTAAGGCCAGTTCTCTACGCACTTATGAAACCAGGCGGTGTTCATGGATAAAACGAACACAACAATGAGAACCAAAAGATGAATAAGGATTAATTGTGTGACATATGTTGTCTAGGTATACAGTAAAGCTCGACGATTCAAAGATATCAAATCTATCGATTGACCGAGTATATCCGATATATGCTCACTATAAAAAGTTCAAAGGGAAACCTACTTATCCCGATGCAATTAGTCCTTAGTTGCGAATCACACAAAATATTTCATGCATGTTCATCATTCCACATTCATGTAGGGGATTGTTGGGGTTGAAGTGTAGTAGTGTGAATGGGAAATGAGGAAAGAAAGTGAAAAGGCAACTTTGGCTTTTGCACTTTGTCTCTCATTGGTTAAAGACAAGTATTTTGTTGGGTTTAAATATAGAAGCACTTCCTTAAGCTCTTAAAAGGAGCTAAGAGGAAGGGGCCTCGCGCCGTCGTTGCCGTCGCTCGCTCGGCTCGAATTCAGATTCGGATTCGGATTCGGTCAATTGATATGATTGATTGACTTAATTTTTTGGACCAATAAAATGAAATTACTTAATTAAATATTAATATTTTATATTAATATTTTGAATGACCGTTATTTGTAATGATAAATTAATTAATTTCCATCTTTAATTTTATTTAAATATTCCCGCTATAAACAGCCACCAAAGAGGCTGCATTTCACGAATAGCCACCTGCAGTGTGAACAACCACTTTCACACCCTTTCAATCCAGAAATTCGTTGGCTATAAATTAGCAACCATTCCTTCAGAATTTTTCAATCCGGAAATCTTCTGCTTCATCTCCTTCTTCTTTCTGCATCATTACTTTCAAAACAAAGTAAGTCTATCGTGTGATTTGTACCATTATTTTGAGTTCACTGATAAATTAGTGGTTTGAAGTGCCGCTACCGCTAAGTTGGAAGTTCCGTTCTATCCTGGGAAGAATTTATTCGTGAACCTTGGGCAACAGTGAGGGGATAAGATTCTTTAAGGACGCACAAGGAATTTGTGGGCTCGGGACATAATACTGCCAATTTCTGTTCATTTATTTTTCTTGTTTTAGTCACTTAAAAATTCAGAAGAACTAACAGGCAGCATACCTTGATGCAAGTATCAGTGACTGATTCCGCGGCTCGAACCCATGATTTATAAGTCACATGGGGACAACTTTATCGTTGCTCCAAGGTTCCCCGTGCTGCAATTTCATTTCAATAATTGGATTTACCAGCAGAAAGCTGTAACATTATTATTATTATTAAAAAACCTTAGCTCATAAAATCACCATATATATCTCAGATAAGGTCAAGTTGCATTTGTTAATGAATTGATATGGACAATTGTAAATGAACATACAGGCTTCTTGATCCTCTAGTATACGGAGATTATCCAATAGAAATGCGAGAGTATCACGGGAAGAAATTACCAAAGTTCAGCTCCGAAGAAAAAAGGCTTATAAAAAATAGCACAGACTTCATTGGGCTTAACCATTACACAACTTGGTTCGTTAAGGATTGCCTTCATTCCAACTGCACATGCGTGGACACTGATGTTCTTTGTACCCATGGTGAAAATCGTGCAATTTGCGGGTTTCTGCTCATTACTGGACAGAAAGATGGTGCATCCATTGGAGATCCAGTATGTATATATTTACTCACGCCTTTAATTATTTAAATTATTCTTAGTATGATATATATATA